GTTAGAGAGGGGGGTTCTGGTGGTTAATTTAAGCGGTTTTGTAAACCGCCCACATCTCCGGGGAAACTGAGCTGCTCCTGTTTCCCCCCCCCAAAACTACTTCAGCAATCCCACCCCTTTTATGTAAAATGAGAAGGTTAAACCTGATGTTAGAAGCGCTACTGGGTTTCCACGGTTCTGCCTCTGGGACCCCCGCGGTACCGCGACCCACAGAGCGGCTGCGGGCCGCGTCCCTCGGTGAACCCAGCTCCCTGCGGCTGCCAACCCGCCCTGCTGGGTTTACATTGCTGCTCGCAGCTGTGACCCTCTCGCTCGCTCACGCGCCCCGCTCGGTACCAGCCTGAAACATCCCAGAAACGCAGCGGTTTCTTTCGGTAGGAAATAAAACCAGTAGCGAAGTGACTTGCGTGCACTGCGTTTGGTGTCTTCCCGTCGCCTCCTCCTGCCCCCCCAGCAGCCAAGCTGACGGTTCGCCGTCCGTTCTGCCTCGCTGCGGTGCTGCGGCCGCGACCTGGCTTATGACACCGGCCGTGCCAAGTGCTGAGGACAACGCCCCCCGTGCCAGGGGAAGCAGAAAAACAGCTACATCTTACTCTCTGTGGTGCAAGAGAAGGCCTCTCTCCCTTCTAAGAGGTGACTTGGGTGAGTTTTCAAACAGATGAACCCACATTCTTGTCACCTTTTCGTACATTGATTGAAAGAAAGGATTATACGTAACATACAGAAAACTGAAGTGGATTTGCCCTCAAAGACAGGCCTAAGGTCTTGCCCGTCTTTGCAGCAGGTTTTCTGTAGGCACAAGGAGAAAGGGTAGTCTAGAGGCTTCAAGCCAAAATGCCCAATTTCCTTGGTTTGTGTTTCCTGAAGAAACTAGTGAAGTTTCCAGTGGTGAGGCACTGGAACAGGTTGCCCAGAGAAGCTGTGGATGCCCCATCCCTGGAAGTGTTCAAGGCCAGGCTGGATGTGGCTTTGAGCAACCTGTGGAAGGTGTCCCTGCCCATGGCAGGGGGGTTGGAACTGGATGGTCCTTAAGGTCCCTTCCAGCCCAGACCGTCCTGCGATTCACTGCAGCTGAATTCTCAGTGCCAGAAGAGGGTGCGAGCGCAGATCATGACACACATGGGGTGGGGGCACTTCCTGCACCGGAACATGCCAAGGCCTGTGTCAGACAGAGCTGCTGCCGCGGAGCTGGGGATGCTTCCAGCCCCTGCCCCGCATACCCGCTCCTGTACTTACCTAGTCCTAGTGTCAGCGGTTGTGCCCAGGTTCTGTCACAGCTGTTCTGTTCCAAAGGTTTTATTTGGAAAGCATTGGTATTTACAACTGTTCCCAAAGCAGCTGAAGTCATCAAAAAAACCAAGTCCAAGGATGCAGGATCAGCTTGTTTTCTTAGCCTGTGGCTCTGCTTGCCCTCCTTCCACAGTTTCCCAGGTTGAGACAGCGGCTCTGTCCTGCAGGGAGAAGTAAGCGGGTCACTGCCGGCAGCCCGGATCACACGGGGGGTCACGAGGCGCAGGCGGTTTAACCAGGCTCCGCGCAGCAAAGCTGTCGCTCAGGTAGGGAAAAAGAGGTGGCAACACCCTGCAGGGGGAACGCCGTCCTTACCACCACTGCTCGAAGCTGCGCAACAAACCCCCTTCTTCCCTAGGGAAGAAGGGAAAAAAAACCCACGGCAGCAACACCACCTCGTTGGGGGGGGTCGTTGGGGAGGGGGTGCTGC